GAGTGCCTCCGAACACGAAATTTCATTGGCGATGCAAAATTTAAGACAAACTCTTTGTTCGATGTTTTTGTCCATTATGATATTCGCAATACACATGTTTTTAATATAAATTACAGATGCAACTCAAATTTCGCGCCAAAATGGAAAACAGTTATGCCAATTTAACAACAACAAAAAAAATTAAAATTAGAATTTGGAACCATAAAAAAAACATTCATTCCCGATACTTTGTTGACTGAATGTATATATATTTGAAGTGACTAATAATTTTATTATAATTAGAATAAGCAGATATAGTATAGAAATTTATGCAAGATCAGGTAATAAAATCCATAAAATGGTTAACAGTTATCAAGTACACAGTCGGACGCCAAAGGCTGGTTAATATCGAGTATCAACTTCAATAGAGCTCTATTGGTAAGGACTAAGTCATTACTGATATAAAATAAGCTGTTATTGATTATAGCCAGTGGAAAAAGAAACGTGACCTTAAATAATAATCATATCGTATTTTATAAAATTTTGCTAATCACTTTTTAAATCAGGTTGGCTATGAATAAATGAGCAGCAAGTGTCGAATAGTTTCTAGTACAGTCGTGTTCAAAATGCGTGAGAACGTGAACTCGAATTTCACCCGGTGAGAATGAAAGAGGATTCGTAAAAGGCTTTTGGATTGAGAATGCTGAATCATCGCGGTGTCGAGTGGCGGGCGTCGCGCCGCTCTATACTAGTGATGACGTGCAATAACGAGCTAGTGATGTGATGGGTATCGATACTTTTATTGCCAACTTTTCTTCCATATTTTTTTGTTGCGAGAAATAATTACAAAATATTCTGACTTAAATGTCAGAGTGTAAGTAAGAATTGTGACGCAAAGAAGATGATTTAATTGAGATCAATAAATACTGCAGTTGTATACACCACATACGTAAATTAAGGTGATTTTTAAATTTTTAAGTGACTACTTAAGAATTAATTTATTGCATACGCTTTGTTAAACATATTAATAAATATTCATCGATACATAATTAAGTCACTACACATTTTATAGTTTTACCGAATCTCAATTCCATGGGTCATCGATTACAAATAGTTTGAATATCGTCACAACATCACTACGGTCACACCATAAGAACTAGTGCCTAATCTTGCGCGGGATCTCAAAAGGAGGGTTTGAAAGAGGCACACTGGTGTCTGTTGCCTGATGAAAAACCGACTGGAGTGTCACAGCCCTTTAATATTCACCCCCGTTCTTTGTTTCGGGTGATTGACGAAAATCGCTGCGAACCCTGAAGCACTACCGGACTCTGTTTACATACATTGCAATTTGTTTGCGTAGGACCACGTGAGTTTAGGTTTAGCGTTGTGGACTTACCGGTTTACGTTTGGTTTTACTCTAATACTTAGAGTACGTACAGGGGATAACGTTTACGGTTTGAAGTGAAGTTAATGCACAGTTATATTTACTCTGGGGATGGGATTATGGTGTAGGATTGTTGTTTGTTACTGTGCACAGGTTAGTAGGTGGAGGTGGTGAAGCCTCTTTTGTACCTGTTTAGATTTGAGACACAACAGCTCTTTTAGATTATCCTATAGACATTTATCATTATCAGCCCATTTTTCGTCTAATTTTCGATATAGGCCTCTTTAATAATAGGACACTGAGTTCGATGTTCAGCTCTTCTCATCCAAACAATAAGTAAAATACCTTACAAGACTTAATCAACCTTTGCAGTACGCGACAGTCATTATGGTATAACGTTTTTTTGTTTGAGGTGCGAAACTTATCATCTTGCTTCTCTCACCTATGGCCTAGGATTTTCTTCTGTGTCGTGGGTGCGTTTACAAAATACATCACACATACAAGAGTTGTTGCGTGTCAACCAGTTGTCGGACCACGGCGCCACCATAAAGTTAAATTTAACGTTTTCATAAAGTAAAAAAATAATAAACTCAGTAGTTGGTTACATACCAGGGGTGGCTGGAAAGTTATCTACCTAACATAGAAAGAAAAGACCTAGGAAGCTGATTTTTTTTTATTTTTCAATATAGTCCCCTGGTACCTTAATGCACTTATTACATCTGTCAATAAGCGACATTCAACCGTCAAAAAAATATTTCTTGGATTGGTCGTCAAAATGGCCATCCACAGCGGCCTTTATTTCTTCATCGGTCGAAAATCGCCTCCCTCTTAGGCTTTTCTTCAAATTTCTAAATAGAAAATAGTCACAGGGGCCAAATCTGGACTATGGGGTGGACGGTTTAGTTCCGTGAAGCCATTCTTGCTTAAGACTGACCTTGCATGTAAAGCTGTGTGGACCGGAGCATTGTCGTGCAAAATTAAAACTCCTTTGCCGAGTTTGCCTCTTCGTTTTTCTTTTATGGCTTCTCGCAGTTGGTCAAGTAAGCTGGCGTAGTAAGTTGCGTTCATCGTAGTATTTTTTGGTAGGTTATCTATCAAAAGAATCCCCTCGACATCCCAAAAAATTGTTGCCATAAGCTTGCCTGCTGATGGCCGAACCTTAAACTTACACGGTTGCTTCTTCCCTTTAAATTTCCACTGTAAAGACTCCTGTTTGCTTTCGATGTCCTATTGGCGAATCCAGATTTCGTCGCAGGATACTATTTTAAAGATAATTTCTTCTTCTCTGTCTTTTACTAGGTCCAAAAATGCCTTACAACATTCAACGCGTCGTTTATCAAAGAGCGTCAGCATTCTCGGTACCCATCGTGCACTTACCTTTATCACCCCTTAATGTTCGTGAATAATAACGTGAACACGTTCCTTACTAATCCTGACATCCCTAGCGATTTCCCACTGCTTGACTCTCCGATCTGCGAGTATTATTTTTTCCACTCGAGCCACCGTGTCTACTGTGACTGCAGAAACCGGCCGTCTGCTACGGGGATCGTCTTCCAGACTCACACTGCCATGTTTAAATTGTTTAGACCAAAACTTAATAACAAAATCGGAAGGACATGAATCACTAAACACATTGGACATTCGTTGTTTTATTTGCGAAGGAGTATTTCCTTCTTTAGTTAGGACTTTAATCACGGCACGCTGCTCAATTTTAAGCATTTTATTATTTTCATCCGACATGTTTACTATGTTAGTGGACTATTCGTAATAAAAACAATTGAAACAAATGAATGCTATTATTTTCAAATAAGGAATACATAAGTATTAAAACTTCATAGTGGCCAGTATCATTTTTGTAACTTTATTGAACAAAGTAGATTATATATCAGCCACCCCTCGTACATCTAAATACTAACACTATGCACAGACACAGAACCACAAAAGTAAAGCTAATAACTACAAACCAACTTTAAAAACACACAAACAAAACACGAAATCCTTTGATAAAACCTTACGAAACGTGACGAAGCATTTTCGTCGAAAACTTTACATTGAAAAGCTTAATAAAAATCTGTGTGCATGGCCAAAGAATGGACGTGGTTTTGTTCAAACTAAAGCAAATTGCCTGAATTGGGCCATTCTGTTGTGTTACGAACTTTGTTACAGTACAAACTTTTACACTGACCGAGCAATTTAAGTTGGTAACTTAATATCGCACTGGATTCGTCTTAACTGAACCAGAAATTGTTTTAACTGTTTATTTCACTTTAGTTCTGTAATTGATAGAAATGCAACTTGGTTTTTTTTTGTGAGGGGATAATCATCAAATGACACACCTGCGTGAGGCGGGAGGTGAGGACGCCGTGGCGGCTCTCTCAAGCCACTCCTCAAAGAGGGGTCTTATCGCTGCTATAATAGCGTGCCCGAATGCAACTTGGTTAACGTTTTGTAAACAGAACAAAGTTTCTCTATCCTTATATCCCTATGTATACTTAAATCTAAAAAAAAAGCGGATTTTCATACGGTTTTTGAAAAAACCGGCGTCCAATAACACTTACGTAGTATTTCGCCGTGTAAGTGAGGTAAACGGAGACCCAATCATTCCCCCTCCCCGATCCTCAATCCAAAAATCGTATGTATCCTTTAATCTTGAATAACCCACTAGAGGCTGGCGAGTGGCAACGCACTTGAAAGGAGTTACTCCTTTGGCTGAGCGGCACTGAGTGTTTACAGTCATCAAAAGTGTGAATAAAATATTTATCTATCTCTATCTCTATCACCTTCACCTTCACCTTCACCTTCACCTTCACCTTCACCTTCACCTTCACCTTCACCTTCACCTTCACCTTCACCTTCACCTTCACCTTCACCTTCACCTTCACCTTCACCTTCACCTTCACATTCACCTTCACATTCACCTTCATATTCACCTTCACCTTCACCTTCACCTTCACATTCACCTTCACCTTCACCTTCACCTTCACCTTCACCTTCACCTTCACCTTCACCTTCACCTTCACCTTCACCTTCACCTTCACCTTCACCTTCACCTTCACCTTCACCTTCACCTTCACCTTCACCTTCACCTTCACCTTCACCTTCACCTTCACCTTCACCTTCACCTTCACCTTCACCTTCACCTTCACCTTCACCTTCACCTTCACCTTCACCTTCACCTTCACCTTCACCTTCACCTTCACCTTCACCTTCACCTTCACCTTCACCTTCACCTTCACCTTCACCTTCACCTTCACCTTCACCTTCACCTTCACCTTCACCTTCACCTTCACCTTCACCTTCACTTTCACCTTCACATTCACATTCACATTCACATTCACATTCACATTCACCTACACCTTCACCTTCTCCTTCTCCTTCTCCTTCATCTTCATCTTCATCTTCACCTTGACCTTCTCCTTCTCCTTCTCCGTCACCTTCACCTTCATTTTCACCTTCATCACTATAATTTATACTTTTATGCTCCAAAGTAAAAAGGGTAGATCGATAAGGACATTGCAAACGGTTGGACGCCTGGAGTGCTTCCTATTGCGGCAGCTGGGGTGTGAAGATAATTCTCTCCTCATGCGTCCAACTTCTTTCAAACTTTCAAAAAGAGAAGACGCAAGCTGACCTGTGCATGTTCACCTTCACCTTCACCTTCACCTTCACCTTCACCTTCACCTTCACCTTCACCTTCACCTTCACCTTCACCTTCACCTTCACCTTCATATTCACCTTCACATTCACCTTCACCTTCACCTTCACCTTCACCTTCACCTTCACATTCACCTTCACATTCACCTTCACCTTCACATTCACCTTCATATTCACCTTCACCTTCACCTTCACCTTCACCTTCACCTTCACCTTCACCTTCACCTTCACCTTCACCTTCACCTTCACCTTCACCTTCACCTTCACCTTCACCTTCACCTTCACCTTCACCTTCACCTTCACCTTCACCTTCACCTTCACCTTCACCTTCACCTTCACCTTCACCTTCACCTTCACCTTCACCTTCACCTTCACCTTCACCTTCACCTTCACCTTCACCTTCACCTTCACCTTCACCTTCACCTTCACCTTCACATTCACATTCACATTCACATTCACATTCACATTCACATTCACATTCACATTCACATTCACATTCACATTCACATTCACATTCACCTACACCTTCACCTTCTCCTTCTCCTTCACCTTCACCTTCACCTTCACCTTCACCTTCACCTTCACCTTCACCTTCACCTTCACCTTCACCTTCACCTTCACCTTCACCTTCACCTTCACCTTCACCTTCACCTTCACCTTCACCTTCATCTTCACCTTCACCTTCACCTTCACCTTCACCTTCACCTTCACCTTCACCTTCACCTTCACATTCACCTTCACCTTCACCTTCACCTTCACCTTCACCTTCACCTTCACCTTCACCTTCACATTCACATTCACATTCACCTTTACATTCACCTTCACATTCACCTTCACATTCACATTCACCTTCACCTTCACATTCACCTTTACATTCACCTTCACATTCACCTTCACATTCACATTCACATTCACATTCACCTTTACATTCACATTCACCTTCACATTCACATTCACATTCACCTTCACCTTTACATTCACCTTAACATTCACCTTCACCTTCACCTTCACCTTCACCTTCACCTTCACCTACACCTTCACCTTCACCTTCACCTTCACCTTCACCTTTACATTCACCTTTACATTCACCTTCACATTCACCTTCACATTCACATTCACATTCACATTCACCTTTACATTCACATTCACCTTCACATTCACATTCACATTCACATTCACCTTCACCTTTACATTCACCTTAACATTCACCTTCACCTTCACCTTCACCTTCACCTTCACCTACACCTTCACCTTCACCTTCACCTTCACCTTCACCTTCACATTCACCTTCACCTTCTCCTTCTCCTTTACCTTCACATTCACCTTCACATTCACATTCACATTCACATTCACATTCACCTTCACCTTCACCTTCACCTTCACCTTCACCTTCTCCTTCACCTTCACCTTCACCTTCACCTTCACCTTCACCTTCACCTTCACCTTCACCTTCACCTTCACCTTCACCTTCACCTTCACATTCACCTTCACCTTCACCTTCACCTTCACCTTCACCTTCACCTTCACCTTCACCTTCACCTTCACCTTCACCTTCACCTTCACCTTCACCTTCACCTTCACCTTCACCTTCACCTTCACCTTCACCTTCACCTTCACCTTCACCTTCACCTTCACCTTCACCTTTACATTCACCTTTACATTCACCTTCACATTCACCTTCACATTCACATTCACATTCACATTCACCTTTACATTCACATTCACCTTCACATTCACATTCACATTCACCTTCACCTTTACATTCACCTTAACATTCACCTTCACCTTCACCTTCGCCTTCACCTTCACCTTCACCATCGCCTTCACCTTCACCTTCACCTTCACCTACACCTTCACCTTCACCTTCACCTTCACCTTCACCTTCACCTACATCTTCACCTTCACCTTCACATTCATCTTCACTTTCACCTTCACCTTCACATTCACCTTTACATTCACCTTCACATTCACCTTCACCTTCACCTTCACCTTCACCTTCACATTCATCTTCACCTTCACCTTCACCTTCACCTTCACCTACACCTTCACCTTCACCTTCACCTTCACATTCACCTTCACATTCACCTTCACCTTCACCTTCACAATCACCTTCACCTTCACAATCACCTTCACATTCACCTTCACCTTCACATTCACCTTCACCTTCACCTTCACCTTCACCTTCACCTTCACATTCACCACATTCACATTCACATTCACATTCACCTACACCTTCACCTTCTCCTTCTCCTTCTCCTTCTCCTTCATCTTCATCTTCACCTTGACCTTCACCTTCACATTCACCTTTACATTCACCATCACATTCACCTTCACCTTCACCTTCACCTTCACCTTCACCTTCACCTTCACCTTCACCTTCACCTTCACCTTCACCTTCACCTTCACCTTCACCTACACCTTCACCTTCACCTTCACCTTCACATTCACATTCACATTCACATTCACCTTTACCTTCACCTTCACCTTCACCTTCACCTTCACCTCACCTTCACCTTCACATTCACCTTCAACTACACCTTCACCTTCACCTTCACCTTCACATTCACATTCACCTTCACCTTCACCTTCACCTTCACCTTCACCTTCACCTTCACCTACACCTTCACATTCATCTTCACCTTCACCTTCACCTTCACCTTCACCTTCGCCTTCACCTTCACCACCACCTTCACCTCCACCTCCACCTCCACCTCCACCTCCACCTCCACCTCCACATCCACATCCACCTCCACCTCCACCTCCACCTCCACCTCCACCTCCACCTCCACCTCCAACAACCTTCTCCGTGTGAGAAAAGGCCTGTGCTCGGCAGTGGGCACTTATGGGCTGATGATGGTGATGATGATGATGACTATTTTTTTCACTAATTTTGAAGAATCTCTTAAATCTCTTGAAGAAATAACTTACTAATTAAACAGTGATAAAGGTCGTTTTCCTAATTAAACAACCTCAAAATCACTATAATTTATCGTTTTATGCTCTACATCTACCCTTTTTATGTAAAAAGGGTAGATCGATAAGGACATTGCAAACGGTTGGACGCCTGGAGTGCTTCCTATTGCGGCAGCTGGGGTGTGAAGATAATTCTCTCCTCATGCGTCCAACTTCTTCTTTCAAACTTTCAAAAAGAGAAGACGCAAGCCGACTTTTGTACGGCAGTCAAGGTCGTCGACGTGTGAGATTCTTAGCCTTCTGAATCAGAAAATGAGAGGAACATAAAACGTTATAGTTTTAAACTCAGTTTCAATGTAACAAAACTGCCTTAATGCTGATAATGGTTACGATCAAAAAACCGCTTTACCAATAAATCCTTCTTCATAACCCTAAGCCCACATTATATTCAAAGCAATTTAAACTCTTGATAAATCTCTTATCGCGGAAAAAATCTTAATAAATATAAGCATCAATCAAGGCAACGGTATGAGGGCAATGAAAAATGGCGATTGCTATTAAAACGTGAACGCACAATGGCAGCACGCGACGCTTCGTAATTACAACGTTTAACTTGCATCAATCATCGGGAATATTGTTTTGTTTCAAAATATGCCTTCATATCCTTGTTTCATATACCTACGTTTTTGCTTCACAAATAAATAAATTAACTTACATACTTAAATACGTTGCAAGTTTTATTTAATAGGAGGCAAACGAGTAGATGGTAAGTGGGTGATGGTAAGTTATCAGCGCCGCCTGACACCTGCGACACCAGAATAGCCATAAGAGCCTTGCAGGCCTTTTAAAAAGGAACATATCATTCAATAATTTTACTGTGTCAGATAGAAAGGTTCGCGCAAATTGCAACCACCTAAATTTTTTTTCGATCCTAAGTCGGTAAACGTGTAGATATATAGACTGCTTAATAAATCCAACCATTACTAAAATATATGTCAAGACATTCTAACGTAGTAGGTGTGAACTTAAGAGGAATCTTTTGTCCTGTACGTCAGTCAAAGGGTTCGCGCTAACAAGTAATATGACCATTATATGAATTTCCTTTGCGTTGTTTCTACATTCATAATCCTAAATATATGTGTTGTGCGTCAATATTATTTTCTTATTAACCTCGAGAAAGAGAAAATTTGCTGAATATATGTACTTACTTACGTAATAACTTCTTGGTATATATTTTATATAATAAAAAATACTGTCACTTACTTGTATATTTGATCATCGTAAGTGCGTACCCTAAAGTAAATAAGCCTAGTTAGATACTGGCATATTTTTTGAAGACAGTATATTTTGAGTTTAGTTCTCCAGCCCTGAATGGGGCTAGAAGGAATATGAAAGCCTGACTGACTGAAAACCGCCCGTGCCTTCTTCAGCTCCGGGCAAGGCCACAGTATAATTATAATGACTTCTACTACACTATAACTATATTATCTTTAAGAATTCTACTTACATATATATAAACTTTTGCTAAGTTACTTGTAAAGTTCATTTTATGTATCACTAACGTTGACACACAAAGTCATATCCATTCTTTCACTCTCCGAATGAATGGAAAGGCACTTTCACAAAGAAATATAAAGAAAACATATATCGACTCGACTTCTTTGAGATGGATAACGTAGAACCTTTTATTTTGATATAGGCACCTCTTTGCTTATTGCATATTTACTTACATATATAGGTAACTTTTTGTTTATTCTCTGAAAGGGTTGTATGGACGGAAGAAACACTTTTTGATATGAAAACATAACCAAAAAGAAACAGCTCTTTGTGTTTTTATTGGCTAACAAAACTGATATATATATATATATATATATATATATATATATATCAGTTTTGTTATATATATATATATATATATATATATATATATATATATACAATTGTAACAAGAAAGAAAATCAAAAATATAATGAAAGATTAATATTTAACTTAAGTACATCGGTATTAAAAATTACCTTCCCTTCTTATAAATTAACAAGACGAAAAAACTATAAATAAACAATGTTCAATCTAATTAAAAATAAGTGCCAAACTAACAAAAACTTAAAAGAAACTTCTTTTAATAAAACTAACAAAACTTTAACCTGCCTTATTAAATATTAAAACAGTATCACCTTTAACAATACCAACGACAGACTCTATTGTTATCAATTAATTAAAATTTACCGTAGCTACCGTCCTTCAAGTTTAGAGACAGGGCTGTCTACTACACATAACTTCTATATACAATATGTATGTAGGTATATATGTACGTATCACACTTGATATTAATGTACCGTGAAACACAGCAGAACTTCGTGTAAGTTATTCAACACCTGCACCGCTGAGACGTGTCTACAGTTCGACGTTCCAAGGGAAAACGCTTCAGTTTCGGTAAATTATGAGCATGAAACGGTTGAATTTATACCTTAATTCATGTATGTTTTAGTGTCAAATTTGATTGGTGGTTTTTTTTAGTAGCACAAAATGTGGACATGACATGACTAAAATTCGAAATTTAATTTAATTAATTTTACTTCACTTCGAAAGTCGATTGATTTATGCTGTTCGGTTTGCAATGTAAAACGTAATTAACTATTAGATTATCTGTGTGCAAATAATAGTATGTATTATTTGCACACAGATAATCTATACATATGAATATCATAAAGTCATGGTCAAATCATTTATTTTTAGTTTATTGTAATCTGTGGTGCTGGTGTACATTCCTTTAAAGAAGGAGTAAGAAAGTGCGTTCCGCAATGAAATACTTTGAGGCAATATTCTACTATGTTAGAATAATATAACTCTTACACTTAACCACAGAATCTGAAAACGAACGACATTGCATAAAGACATTTTTCATAAAAAGACATTGCTCCTAACTTCAGTACAATTTGATGATATTCGATTTCGATTTTGTATAAAGTGAATATGATAGAAATAGAGACAGTATTGAATCATATGTAGGTATTGTACATCTATAGTTCATAGTAAGTTCGTGTATTGAAAAGTAACGCCGGCGCTTGTGTCAGCCAAGCGATTTGAGAACAAAGGAGACGGACGGGAGCTCTTTTCAAATATTCCTCCATTATAACACACACTGATTTTGAATTTAGAAAGCGTTTTTCAAAATTACATTAGTTATATATTTATTTATTAAATAATTTTAAGAGTAACCATGAAGTTTCTTGCTGGTTCTTTTCCATCGGAATAGGAATTTGGATCGAGTAAATAGCTTAACTAAAAAGACTGACCGACAGACTGACACATTTTTCTTAAAGCTTTGTTTGACGTTCAAAAGTGCCTGTAAGGGTATTTTGACTTGTTTTAGTTCTAATTTTTTTTTTTAATTTTTTTTTTAGTATTTGTTATTATAGCTGGTTCAGAAATACATCATCTATACAAATTTTAATGGCCTCCCTATCACCATATCACGGTTCAAAGGGTTACAGACTTGTGATAAACACACAGAAATCGGAGTCTTGGTAATTAATAGGGTTCCTGTTTTAGTGCGTAGTAGCAGAAGTACGAAACTCTCAAAATAGCTTTAATGTTTATGTTCATAGTAAATCGTGGGTATTTCGTTATCTGTGAATCTTGCTGTATAAAATCTAGTAACTCCAAATCTGTATACACATGACAGTGCCGAACCCTTGTCCAAGATTACAAGGCGCTTTGTTTACTACAGTACTCGCTTCTTATGGTCTCCAATAAATCTACCACTACACAATGCCACTTTTCGTTGTAATGTTATAACTCAACAATGCCTTTACCGATTTGGCAAATTTTTGTCTTTCATTATTCGTGAAAGTCCAAAAAAGGATTACACGTAGAGAAAATTAAAAAAAAAACATTGAGAAAATGTAAAATAGACATCCACGCAGCGGAGCCGCGGGCGATTGCTAATGAAAATATAGTTTTTTCAATTTCTATGTAACATGAATTAAATTCCCGTATGTAGCAGTCACTGGCCAAGCGGCCGCGTCCGCGCGCAAACTTCACCGCCAATTTGTTAGCACCTTACAAAGCAACCTCTTTTAATATTATTCTGCGAGGCCAGAACCCTCTCAAATTAAACGCTACGATATAATATTTGTGGCATTATGAAAAGCTTGCAAACTGGATGCTATTCCCGAGTATTCTCTTCGTTTTTTGTGAGCGAGTCAGAGTCAAGGGTGCAGTGTGAATACATTTGTTTAATTTTATTTTTATTTTTATTTCACATTCATTTTGGGTGGCACATAAATGTAAATGTGGTCTCTTAAATTTGAAATTACAGTATTGGTATTTTAAGTCTGGAGAGGTATGCTTCGATACGCATTGGTCGGGTCAACCGGAGTGATACCACAGCCTCACAGACAACCGGCGTGAAACAACCACAACGTTTGCCGGAGGCCCAATCCTTACCCTCTTTAACCCCTATATCCCCTTATTATTATCCTTTATTTATTACAAAGAATAGTAGCTGGTCACCATGCAAACTAAGAAACCTGTGCTTAAAATGTATCAAGAATCAAGATGTTGAGTACCTATACTTACAGTAAAAACATATATATACATATATCTATATATACATATATCTTAGTATACACACACACAGACACACACACACACACACACAACCCCAAATCTCCCCAACCGTCCAACCCCCATCTTCCAGAAAGGCAGCAACGTCTTGTAGTTGCACTGGTGATGGTGATAAGTTTACTCTTCAGACGCTCTATCACAAAAAAATCTCAGAAACAATTGCCATCTATATTTTTTATCCTCAAGCAAAGTACGAGTTAGTTGAAACAATCCACGGATAAATACTCCCACTTATCGTACCACAGTTTATTATGGCTCCATTTGAAAAAT